GGGGGTCCTGAACCAATGTAATATTACTATTACACTTTTGTAAGGTGAAAAAATAACAAGGAAAATAATTTATGACAACATCAATTTTTTAAAACAACACATGACACAAAAGAGTAAACTCTGCTATTCACTTGAAGTTTTTCAGGAAAAGTTCCGCTTATACCATATTTAATTATTGTGTCATATGTGTGTGTATGCATGTTTTTCATGAACGTAAAAGTAAAGCGCACCGACCAATGATTGTAACACAGATTTGCGTATAAATTAAATGTCATATTATTATAAGCGAATAAATATTAGTATTACAGGATGGGGGGGGGGGGAGGAAAATGTAAGAAAAGTGTAAAGGGGGGGGAAATCCCCCCAAAAGGTGTACGACAATATTTGAACAGCACCAAAACCACTCTGGTCTCACCTGCCCAACGTCAGCGGGAGTTTAAGTTTAAGGACCTGACACAAGTACCCTAAGCAACCTCCATGCAGTTGGGTGTTTTTGGGGTTTTTTTGGTACGTTAGACATCCACATTTAACTTTTGATTTTGATCCAACAATACTTGCGTTGGTTACTTTGATTGCAATGAGCACACCAACAATGTATTCCTACAATAATTCCATGACATTTTAGCTATACACGTCTTGCAACTTTTCTTGCAACTTTTGTTGATTTTTCTTGCAACTTTTAGCAACTTTTGCTATTTTCAAATGCAACTTTCTCTGAAGACAGAACAAGAGGCGGTACTCCAAGGTTTAACTGTAGTTTGAGTTGCGATAAATCAAGAATGGCTTTTCAGTCAGCCCAAGTTTACAGATTAGGAAAGTAAAAAAAAGGGGGGGGGGGGGGTGAGAGAGTGAGTGAGAGAGAGAGAGAGAGAGAGAGAGAGAGAGGGGGGGGGAGACGCCACAACTTTCTGAATAATCTGAATAATCATCACAGAAACATAATTTGGAGATCACTATCAGCGTAATGTAAACAAGAAAGAAAACTGCACCTGATTGTGTTAAGGAGGCTAATTTCTGCTTAAATAAAAATTTCCGTTTGGTCTACCTATTCAAAGTCAAATCTCTCATTTGAGTGTTTGTTTGAGTAAAAAGACAGACAAACAGAAACAACAGAGGGAATGTAAAGAATCTCTCAAATTTAAAACCAAAGAGAATCTTGATAGAGAGCAGCATGAGCCCATCAAATGACAAAAACACAGGAGTACTCGTTTTATATTTTTAATTGATCTCCGAGGCATAAATTTCACATAAACAATGGACATTTGCACACATTAAAACTTTTCGTCAGTTTTCAAAGAACTAACACCTTGGTACTTTATGGTTGGAATTACTACCATCAAACATTCTATATAAAACAAAGAATTAGTTTCATTTCCACAGCTGCTTTCAGAACAGATAGTGACAAACATACTTAAAAATCATTCTCTCGATGAGGATGGAATATTTCGCAGCTGAAGTGGTCCCTACACAGTACCCTGAAAATAGGTTGGCCTAGATATTACGTCACACAAGAGTTCACAAGGTGAAGACAATTTTTTTCCCTTACTGAAAAATGCAAAACCCTTTATCACAGCCATTCTTGATTTTGTTCAAAGGCAGGGATAATGCTACAAGTTTCTGCTCAAAGATGAAATTGGAGCAAATCACTAGCCCGAATCAAAAGACATAGACAGCACTGACAGCGATCAAAGCTTTGATGCCCTTGTCATCAAAAGTGGATGTGCCAGCAGTTTGCTTAAATGATGGACAAAATTACAGCTGTTGGCTTGATTTTGAAAGCTTTGAAACAGCTTTCCATGACAGATTCTTTGGGTTTAGAAACAAAACAAACCAGTTTATCAACAGAACAGGTCACAGGAGATGAGACGGATGAAAACAAAACCAGAAAACAATGAGATGGCTGATGAAGCGTCACAGAATGTTGCTATGAAGGGACTGCACTGAAAAGACACAAATGAAGGCATCTTTACAATTTATGTACATGATTTGCTGTCTTTGCAGTAACGCTAGTTTTCAGGCACTTCTGGCTCCGCTGGGGGCTCCAACTGTTGAATCTGAGGAAATTTTGTTAAAAAAAACATTTAAAAATTTAGAATTGGTGGCAGAAAGATAAAACAGTATTTTAATTTTGCAGCTTTCACTCAGAGAGAAAAAATAAGCTACCACTAACAAAATGCCCCCCCCCCCCCCCCCCCCAAAAAAAAATTATTAAAAAAAAAAATCATATAAGGTCATCCTAAAGTTATACATAATATGAATGTGACTCAGTCTTCTCTTTAATTGGTAGCAACATGGAACAGAACATTAGAGTTAGAGTTTTTATAAACTGCCAAAAATCATTCTACTTTGTACGTTAGACAACAGAGGTTTCATAACTGAGCAATCAACAAAAATTGTCTGAGATTCTGAAAAAATGCAACATAGGTCAGATTTTGACATTTTTTACATTAGGGGGTTTACTAATTTAATAGAAAAGTCAATGCTGAAAACAAGTTAAAAATTTCTTTTTCCAAGTAGGCCTACCGGTACCTCAAGACTTTTTGAGATATAATGTACGTTTTGTGAGGTAGGATATAACAATACGATTTAGAAAAAACAGGCTTTAAACACAGTACACAGCAAAAACACTAAAATGGCAGACAGCACAAGGATGCATAGGAAGTGTGATTTGTTTGCAGTATTTACAGTGTAGGGGAAGTCCCAGTTATAATTTTGGTAACAATTTATGTTGGGCTGGAGAAGAAGAAGCTAAACCCAAGCATCGAATTTAGTTACCGTGCTTTTTAAAAGCCATTAAAAAAAAAAAGAACACCTTGCCTAATAAAATACTTAAAAGTCAAATAAACTAAAATCATTTTAAATGGTGGTTCAGAAATTATGGAGCTACTGTTTTTTTTATTGAAACAAATCTATCTTGGTAAAAAATTTGATTTTTCACATCAGCCTGTAGCTCGAATGATATGGGCCAACATTTTATCCTCTTCTTAAGGTGCACACACAAAGGCTTACTTACTTAAACTTATCAGATGCAGAACAATGGACCAGGCCTCGGAATGGGACAATGACAACAGCACACCACACAAAAATTGTAAAACAGGACAAAAGGCAGAAAATACCACAGGTCAAGGTACAGAAGAGCATGACTATAGCGGGACTTTTGGTTCCTGAAGAAAAATCCCAATGTAGGCAAGTTCTCGCTATGATGAGAATGCAAAGGGCAATTACGGAAAAATTGCACACTTTACGCTCTCCTCTTCTTTTACTGTCTTTTTGGCCCAGCCTAGGCCTAATCAATTTTGGAGAGGCACTATCTCGCTAAGCTGCCTGCCCCACCTCACTCATCACTGGACAGGCCAATAAAAACAACGCACCGCTGACTGCCTTTTTGGAGCCCATCTACAGCCTCCCCCCCCCCCACCAGCTAGAGCTCGCTCGATCTCTCCCGCTGTATCCAAGTTTGCGCCTTTCCTTGCCTCGTTAAACCCAAACACAGTCAGTTGAGTTTACATAGACAAATAAAGGGGATTCCGGTAAGGTCCAGCTGTAGCGGGTGCCGCTATAGTCATGTTCTGCAGTATTTTATCAATCACAAATAATATTCAAAGTAGTAGAACAGGAACAGTTTCAGCCCACAAGAATTCCCAAGTCCTTCTTCCAAAGCAATAAAAATTATACAGTCCAGTCCATTTATAACAGCCTCTGTTATTACAGGAACTTATATAACAGAGATAAATCATATCCCTGTTTTTTTTTTTCTCTATGTAAGAAATTTGAACCTGGCTATAACAGGGTTCAATTTGCACAGACTTGGATACAACAGTGATCTTGCAGCGCATGAACTTGCTTTCCATCCGTCAAATTACTAAAATTTGTCCCAACCAAGACATTTCGCCTTTTGTATGATCGCTTGCCTAAACACAAACTTTCAAACACACATATCTCTCCTCCCCCCCCCCCACCCCCCCAGGGTTGGGGTCACTGATCGATTCCGTCTCAGTGCCAGTAAAACTGAAAAAGGAAGTGCGGTAATCGAATATATAGTAAGCTGAAGGTGCAATGGTACTGATAGTATCCCTTCATAACGGTTATAACAGGACTCGCTTTAACAACATGGAAAAACTGCCGGTCCCGTTTGTTATATATATATATCTGAGTTTGACTGTACTTCTTTACTTTGGCTTGGACTTTGATGACAAACCGAAAAACAAAACATCCTTGATATATTACCAACCTTTGCTTTTAGCTCACTATTCTCCTCCTGCAACTGTTCACATTTCTGCCTGAGCTCTGTTACTTCAAGTTTTAAACTCTCCACATCAGCTGCTTCAGGGCCTGACACATTTAGATGCTGTTTGAGAAAACTGGGAGCAATTAAGGAAAACAACTCCAAAATGACGAAACAGTTATCTCATGAGTCACAACATCAAATCATGGGCTTGGTCTAAAGTCTGCGCCAATCAGGATAATCATAATGACACCGTATTTGAAAGAGCATAAATCAAGAAAGAAAAACCATCTCATTCAAAAAAAGAAGAAAGAAAACAAACTACAGTGAGATCTATTTCGAACTCCGATATAATGAATAACGAAATCTTAGGACGAACGAGACAAATTCTTGATTCCAATTTTTTTTCTTCCTTAGTCACTTTTCTATAAAGTGGATTATTAACAACTGGCTGTTAGAAAATGGTGAGTCAGAAAACTGTAAATCATCTGTCCTTGTAGAACAGATAACAAACACAAGATGTGCCAACCACCACAACATGCTACACCGGTCATTTACTTATTTGATTGATATGGTAAGGTAATGGAGTTCTAACAACTTAACTTGAAAAGTCCAAAATCAGGATTTCATGAGATAAAAATGAAATAAAAACGGAAAGGTTACTAAGTGATGAAAAAAGTGAGAAATGAACATTTACTTTCAGTCACATGGCAAACACAATACATGGCAATGAAGAAAAAGGATACTCTAGAGCATTGTTGGGTTTCTCAGGTTCCTCGTACAGTACGACCAAAACTGTAAAACAGAAAATGATCACAATAAAAACTGTAATAAAAAAAATAATCGCTGAGGAAGACAGACTGTAGACTGATACATCTGTCAATACACTAACATGAAACTGACGACAGAACTTTACTTAATCGGAGTGGCTAGCCCATCTTTTCTGTATTAATAATGTATTCCTTTCTTCTTTCCTTACCGCTTCCTTTAACTTAACTCTAAATAAACCACTAGACCAAATGCAGCCAGATCCCAGAACAGTCAAAATTGTTCTCAGCTACCTGCTTTATCTTAAAATGACACTGTCCAAGATGTCCAGCTATAACAACCACACTTCTCCTCGACAATGGGTGGCTAACATGGACAGTTTCAACTGAAATTTCATACTGACTAACAAACAACCTTTACTTCAGTGTCTTTTCAATTTACAAAAAATTTGTTTAATTTACAATCACCTTTAGTGAGCGTGTCCAAAACTCCAGCCTTTTCCAAATACTTTCTGAATTCTTCCCTCTTGGAATCAGCAGCCTGGAAATAAAAGCAATTAATCAAATCATGTTCGGTTATTGTCAACTGGAATTATTATTTAAAAGGAAAAAAAACCCACTCTAGAAGACACCTCTTTATATATTGTAGGCCTACCTGTGAAATCATTAATAATAAAGGTTGAGTCCTCATTCACAGCTGCAGGTGTTCCATCAAGTCTGAATTTGCTAGACCATGTGGCACGCAGTATTTAAATAAAAGCATCAAAACTGTTACATCAACAAAGCATTAGTAAAAAATACAGCATTTAGCATTATTGTCATTTAACCCGTTTGTTGACTTATGACACACCTGGTACTGGTAAGTCATGAAATATATAATTTTGGCTTTGAGCCATACAAGGCCAAGGGCATCATCATCATGGAAGTTGGCAAAATTTGCCATTCCATCATTCCTGTATGTGTCCCTCTGGCTTTAATATTTCTGTATGAGGATTTAGCCAGAACACACAAAGTGTGGATTCAGATTGCAAATTTGTTAACTCTTGCTAGCGATTAATAAACACAGGTCTGGTCTTGTGGACAACGCATGTTCTCGCAAAATGTTAATACCAAAAAATGACTTTAAAAAGGCAGCAAATTTGATTTTTTGACTTAAATTTGCAAGTTTTTTAAAACTACAGGTAAGATGGTAAATATATTTAGGAAATGAAGAAAGAGACATCATCGAAGACCAAGGGTCCAAATATGTCATGAGTGGACTGATCTAGACAGCGAGACCATCAATGAGACATGAGACTGCCGTCCTGGTCTCATGATCTTGGCTGAAAATCGGTGCTGACAGAAAAAGTGTGCACCCCCTGGCAACAAAAAAGAAAAATGGAGGCTCCTTGAATATATCCTCAAAATATTTAAAAACACATCCTCACAATTCCCTTGGCCTAAATCTTTGTATTGCACTTTAATAACAGCATGCTAAATCCTGCAAGACCAAACTGTCCGGCATGCTCTTGTTGGACATGTCGTTTAGAAGAAAGTTTCTATGGCCAATCTGCTGTAGATAACAGAGGCGGGGGTCGGGTACAGTAGTTTACAACTTAATAAGGCGCAACTCGTAAACTTAGATTCTGTGGGACCTTGCTTTTGATCCTAGCTTCTTTCAATCTGAATATATAAGTTTTGCTGAAGCTGAACATAATATAATACGTTGCTACTTGGTCTTGATTATTTTTTTCCTGCAATGGCAGCTGAACAAGGCAGACCTAGTTAAGGCAAGAGTGGCAACACTTTATTTCTAGTCTTTACAGTCTAATCTTCCTACTACTAGTTAAGATGACGGTTGTTGCTATGTCGTTATATCGCCAGCCCCGCTGTACCGCCAACTTTATGCTTATCCTAAGACAGGCAGTATTTATACAAAGTTTGAGTTTGATTATAATTACTTTGACACCTGTGGACGCTTGCATCTCGCTCTTTCTCACACACACACATACGCGCCAGCGTGCGTGCGGTGATTTAATGAAGTTAAGGATTGCTCCCATTTTCATTTTCATTACATATATATACTAAAATTTAAAAAACTCTTAATCGGCCTTCTTCCCAGAAATGCAACTCTAATCCACTGATTATAAGACCAACTTCTTGCATTCCCCACGGGGCACCAGGACTGCTAGGGTCACTCAGTAGTCAAAGCGTGTGCTGTAGGCAGTCCAAAAAAAGTGTGCTTCAGCCGTGAATACCATGGGGTTGTTTTAATCGATGGAAAATAAACCTATCTTTTAAAGGACACAACAAGCTTTCTATAAAATGAGTATTTTATTACGGATACATAAACCCCTCTAATATAAGTTGATCACAGTGTCACGTTTCGCTTGATACAGATACTGTGACTTTTAGTTAGCAATGTTTGCTCCGAAAATTTCCTTTCAAACGCATGAAATAAAATCATTTTAATCACGAACCTGTAATAGTTTTAACGTAAAATCAACAGTTTTTGATTGAAAAATGGAAGTCTTGTTTCCTGGCGTTCCTTTTGAGTTTTTCAAGTAAAAGTGAGTCAATTTGTTCGAATTTTATTGGAGGAACATCTAGAGTTACCAGCTTAATGTGTTTTGAATGAGACGTATGCCTTGGTTTCGAACCAAAGATGACGGTTCTCTAGAAGTAGAGCACAGACGCACAAAAATATTAGAGGACAGAAGCACACTCACACACACTTCCACTGCAGAAATATGGAATCTGGAAATATATGTTAGGTGCGTGTAAACTTTGCAGGGCCAGACAGATGCACGATCCATTGAAAGCGAGGGTGATGAGACATGCTTAGCAGGGTATATATATTATAAAATTGGCCCCTGAGGGACCACTGATAAATAAACAGTCGAAAAGACCATGTTGTAATGTCCTTTGTTTTTGTGGCCCCGATGGTTAAGTTGAACTTCGGATGAGTTGATTTTTTTTTCACTCCTCGACGACATCAACTCATCCGTAGTCAACTGTATATTTTAACAATTTTGCAGGTGCTGCCTGATTAAGCTACAGTCCAGAACAGAAGAAATCAAGCAGTGAATGGGTTAAACTATTTGACTTCTTCTCGATGGAAATATATGGCCTCCAGTCGCTATTCAGACTCAAACTCCAATGCGCAGATATGTAATATGGGGAGCCCACTGGGGGATCGGGTCTGGCCGGGGCGGTTTGCAAGCCAGATTGAGGGCACAAAGCAGCTATCGTGGCATAATACGGGGTGCCCATTTCGAAAGGGATCGTCGGGTCGGGCTGATCGCCTGACTCAGTCGCCTCAAAATATACATGTTTGTTTTCAGTTTCAGGCGACTGAGTTGGGCGATCGGCCCTTTCCAGCCGTAATGGGCACCCCATCTAAGCCGATCGTGCCCGACAAGTCGACTCTACAACAAACATTCGGTTTTCATGCGACCAGTGAGGCGATTGCCCCCAACCCGACCCCATCTCCAATGAGCATCCTGTATAATATTTACACTATCAGAATATGTCACATGTGTATTGTATTGTCATGATTTTTTAAATTAGTGTAAAATGTGATGTTGGAAAAGCTTTTCCGTTAGACGACCGTAACTTTTAATGTCTGACTTTTGTTCCCTTTGGAAGGGTTATTAACTTTCTCTTCTTCTCTTTTTTGTTACCCTACGTCTATGCTATCATATTTTCAAAACAGTGAAAGGAATGTGGCCAATAATCTTCGTAAAAATTAACTTTCATAGTCAAAGCAGACTAACTTGTGTGCTTACAGGTTATCGTTATCGTCGTTCGCAACCGGTCCCGAGGCACTTCTGTGGTCGTCGGAGCATGTAAAAAGCCTGAAAAACCATGCCTAGACGACCAGAGAATTACAGGATTGCCTCTTCCTAAAGAGTGATCAGCAAATTCACCACAAGTATATCAATACATTAATGCACACAAAAAGCAACACACAGTACTGGCGGACCGGAAGCGAAGTTGCGTCCAGCGACAACTCAGACACCACGGGCATAAAAAGTCCCCGTCTCCAAAGAGATAGAACATTTATAGGCCACTATTAATGAAATGGAAAGACAAACTAGTTAGTATTAAGTGCAGGAAATGTTATATCAAATTACTTCCCTATTCTATCCCCATGTGATGACACGCGACCGCGAATGGCACCATTAAGTCTGACTAAGAGTATAATAAAGGCAAAGAGATGTTAAGAAGTACAAATTGCATAATTAAATTACGTAAACACACACACACACTCACACTCACACGCACACACACACACACACAAACACACACACACATTTGCACACACACACATATAGCTATATATAACAGTCTTCCACTAAACTCGCTCTCATGCGGGGACGAAACAAAAGTGGCATGAGATGGAGACTGGAAGCCAAGGTCGAATGGCAAATCCGCTTCACATCCGGTACACCCTTTGATTGCGCACACTCATTGGAGTTTTGAGTCTGAAGAGCCACGGGAGGCTATTCAGACTTGAGTCTGAATAGCCACGGCCATGAAACAGTAGAATAGAGGGTCATGGTTTAGGGACATGCGATTAAACGTAGAACAACATGAACTATTTTTAGGTAAGGCGGCCATCTTGTTTGAGGTCAGAGACCGGGATACCCCTCCGATCACGTGACAACATCTAAATATAGCCAAACGTATGGCACCAAAAATGGAAGTGTATATCAATCTTAATCTGCCTTTCGCAGATGGAAGTTCTTATGGCCGAATGGACAACATGTCTGCGTTTGAAATCAAACAATTATTTTATGAACGTGGGATCGAATCCCGGTTCCGGAAGGGTCCAAGGTTGTTTTTTCTTTTCTCTTCTCCTCCTCCCGACTAACAGTTTGTCCCATAAATTTGAATTATAATTTGTTGCTTGGTAGTTTTTTATTTATGTAGTGATGAAGCATGCAGGAAGGGGGTGGGGGGATCCTCCGGCGTATTTACTGCAGTTTTATCTCTCTATTTCTCTCTCTCTCTCTCTCTCACACGCACACACACCTTTACAAGCACATGCACGCATTCAAATGAATACAGCAACAAAAATAAAAAACTGATAAATGGTGACTGGTTAGCGAGAGAGAGAGAGAGAGAGAGAGAGAGAGAGAGAGAGAGAGAGAGAGAGAGAGAGAGAGAGAGAGAGAGAGAGAGAGAGAGAGAGAGAGAGAGAGAGAGAAAGAGAGAGAGAGAGAAAGAGAGAGAGAGAGACAGACAGACAGACAGACAGACAGACAGACAGACAGACAGACAGACAGACAGACAGACTGACAGACAAAAATATGCCCACAACATTGATGCTTTCCGGAATTTTCTCTTTCTCTCTCTCTCTCTCTCTCTCACATGCACACACATACACATTTACAAACACATGGCACGCATTCAAATGAATACAGCAACACAAAAAAACTGATAACAAGGTAACTGGTTTACAATAAAACATCAGATCAATCTTTCTCTCTCTCTCTCACACACACACATACACATGTATTCAAATGAATACAGCAACATCAGTAAACTGACTATGTAGTGCACTTCTCTCCCCCTCACTCTCTTGACCCCTAAACCCAGCATTGCCGCGCTACTGCTGCGCTGCGATAATATAAACGTATTTGAGCCATTGCCAAAACGTGGGGAAAAACACACACATCCCACATTAGTGTGCATAAAATGTGATGCATTAGTATTTAATTTATTCCTCCAAAATTTATACACAAGTCAAATATATGATGTAAAACCTGCATTAGCAGTTTCAGACCCCATGTCAGCTTTACAATCTTGAGTTTGTAAATTTTTTGCCAAAATTGTTCCCTTTTTAGTGATTCCTGGACTGTCATTTTGAGCACACCAATGCAAACTTCCAAGAATGTTCAAAATTTAGTATTCTAGGGTGTGTTTTTTTTACGTGTGCTTTGATCCTATGCTATTTGTCATCGAGAAAGGTTAACTTGCTCAAAAAATCGGTTTCTTTGTTTGTAAATAAACTAACAATTCGGATCACTTGTGCGTCAGTTGTGTCGTCACGGACTAGGTGTTTCAGAAAACACCATTATTTTTCATTTGAATCACCGTAGCTGGTTAAATCTTTTTGCTTTTCCGGCGTTTATTCAATACTTCAAAAGCCGCGATGCGCGAAAGGAACATCGGGTTCCTAGATCCACGATTTCGGTCGGCTGTTTAACATTCGCCGTGATTGGCGTCACTTTGCGACGTACTGGAAGTCCGAATTTTAGCCTACTTTTGTTTTGAACGGATCATCAACAGTGCCCGGATATAATTATTTTCTTGAGTGATTTCCCTTTACCCGCTTCCCCAGAAAAGCGGAGGCAACGGGGAAAGAGAAAAACAAAAGTAGTCATTGCCGTCAGCGTCCGGTGACGCACAAGAATCTGACGTTGAATGTGACGTACTGGACTGTTTTGAGTGTTTTTAGGCTACCCTATTGAATATTTTAGTGAAATTGCGGTGTTTACATTGGATTCCTGGAACAAGAGTGTGACGTGTGAACAAACTTCGAGAGATGGGTCATTTCTGTGGTTATTGCTTTAGTGCTTAGTGATGACGTTTGGGGTGTCGTCATGCAGCCGTACAAGACTGACTGACATACTAGAAATTACATTGTCCTAAAAGAGCAAACATTTTTTAAATCATGGGTGCTCTTTTTACTCAAACAAATAAACAAACACGTCCTTATTATCTGTCTAACTCAAAAATACACATTTGTTCTTTGTTGGTATGATATATGCCTTTTTCCAGTGCATTGTGTCATCATTGTTATGTACAAGTAATATTTGTCATCATTGCTAATATCAATAAGTTTTCAACATATATCATACATTCAAGATTCATTTAGAAGCAAAATACGCCTTTATTGATCTGTGTATCTCATAGTGCAAATTTGTTCTTTGTAGGCATGATTTTACCTTTTCCCAGTATGTTTTGTCATCACTGTTATGTACGAGTACCGTTTGTCATTATATTAGCAACATAATTGTGATCGTCCACTGTCTTTTGATATGACCTGATATATATCTGTTTCAAAGCAAAAGAAACCTCTCCTGTGTTTTGGGGTTTTTTTTATTCTTAGCGAGTGCATTTATCTCTGGAGGCATGACTTTGTCTTTTCCTGTACATTGTGTCATCATTGTTACGTACAAGTCATGTTTGTCATCACTGTTATTACGAGTCAGCTCCATTGATTTTGTGCTTTTCCCTCATATTAGTAGTTTAAAAATTGTTTTACACATGTGTTTTTCTGGTACTGAGGCTTTGATAACTGTATTTGTACAGCCTTTCACTATTGTGATGTGTTGTCAATGATAATGTCCAATGTGTGTCCTTTCTTGTACATAACAATGATGACATGTTCTGAGCACTGCGTCATTGTTACAAAGCTTGTCATTTATATTACCATTATGAATGGAGTTCATAGTACAAAGTCTTTGTTTACTAAACAAATGGAATTGAAAGTCCATAATTTGCCTCTAGCTGCTAATCTGTTTTTGTCATCACTGTGTAACATATACAAGAAATACAGTGGTTGCCAAACCAATATATACCCATATCTCCAAAACCCTACATCTCCTTGCTCTGATACTCTAGATGAGCTCTAAATGGCAATCTGCGTCTGACAGAAAAGGGAATCAAGTCAAATTGGTAAAAAAAATAATTTTTGCACCATTGAGTCTCAAGAGAGTCTCACGTTTTGGCAATTGCTCATTAGTCATAGTGCCCTTACCGCGGCATTTTCTCTCAACACATGAAAAATGCACGAATCGCAACACATCATGTTGCAAAATCATTTGTAGCCATGGGGATCAAGGACTGGTGATGGGTCTCATTTAAATATTGAGAAATGCCTAAGCGTCTCAAACAGCTTCTCCCAATCCAGCCAACCGTTCCTGCCCGTGGTGGTCCCTGTTTCCACTGACACGGCTCTGGCGAGTGGCGAGTTGTTGGCACCAACAAACCAACCCCCCCCCCTGTTTCCTAGAGGGGTTTTAAAAACAACAGGATGGGAGCAGGTGTGGCCTCACAAGGTGCAGGAGGCAGAACCCACCGATGTGTGGTAGATGCTATGCTCCTCACTAACACACCCCTACTCTCCCTTGAGTAGGTGTCTAATCTGCCTAACACCCCTACTGCTCTTTATCAACACACCCTCTGTGGCTGACAAGGAACCAGCCAGTCTCGGGAGGTCTGGATGCAAGGATGGATGGAGCGGAGTGCCTGACTTGCCTTCTGACCGTGGACCTCTTAGTAAAGGCACAACGACCCAGGACGTGACGATCCAATGGCTTTCTCACTTGGCCGAAACCTCATGCAAGAGTAGACAACTATAGCCAGTAGCCATTGGGTGGCGGGGAATGGGCAACGAGAACCCAACCGGAATTACACGGTCACAGGACAGTTAGGTCTTTCCAGCCTCATGAAAACCCCTGTACCACGTATTCTCAACGTGCATGGCCCCTTCTCAGGATGGGCAGGCAGTCCACAGACACCCCAGTCCTCAATGCCATGACACAAAGAAAAGAATTACATGCGAGCTCGGAAGTCGGTAAGTGAGAAATTCCCGAAACTAGACCAACTGCCGCGCTGGCGTCACCGCCGTGGTTGGGCACATCGACTCTAGATCTATCTAGATCTAGATCTATGACAGCAAGTTGGACCTTAAAGTTTCTTATTGAGTTAACTTACTCCTAGACAAAGGTACTTTAGGCTTTACTAAGCAAGGCAAGGTTTGACAATCACACATGTCATGTCATCATGCGACACGACACACGACGACTCCGATTGTTATGACAAATTCAAATACAAAAAGTTCCCCCGTTCCTCATACCAGATCTCCCCCAGCATTGAACTCACCCTGTACGAAGTCATTTTTCAAGGTAGATCGAAAAAATCCAAGTATGGAGTCCCGTAAAGTTATGAAGCAGATTGATAAATCACTAAAACAGATCTGTAAGCGTATTCCTCGCTTTTGTCTTCGGTCAGAGATCTTTCCAGCAGTCAAAATCGAGGTTTGTAGCAAAGCACGGGTTGCCAGGGAGTTGATCTCGATACGTACGAGAGTTGTCAAAACATTAGGAAATTTCAAAATTACAACTTGTTTTTTTTATAACATTATTTAAAATATCTTTAAAAAGCATATAAAGACTGAGAAATAGAAAATACATAAAAAGTGCTAAGGATTTCTGTTTGAAGTTATTTTGAAATTCCGGTGTCGACAAAATATTTTCCTACTAAAGTATGAGCGCTCCCACCAAGGGGCCTCTGCACACGAACTCTATGAGCCAGAGGGGTCCGTCATAACTGTATTATGATTATTATCTCCATAGCATCTATAATATGTTATTCGATGGAAACTGGCAGAAAAGACCCCTTGATGCCTATACTTAATGCTGCTAAGGGCACAAGATTATATTAAGATGAGTCATTAATAAACTATCAATATTTTTTTTGTCGGACACTTAACAAACACATAATGTGTAAATATATTATGCAACACTCGAAGCCGGCCGGTTCAGGAGTTTGTCTCAATTCGATATGCTTAGATCTATTATGCCCCTAACCAGGGCAGTGCTACTGACTGAAATGTCTTAAGGCCATTTCCAATTTGGTGGGGG